TATTGGTCCTTTTTGAGTCTGTGCAGGCTTAGGGAGCCCATAGGTATGAATATCAACCATGGCTTAGAGAAAATAGACTTACTCCCAGCTAATCTCCCAGCTATTCTTCCTTGGCTCTCTGAGGTTGGACCTTAATGGATGTTAGGTATCCAGAGAGAAAATGCTCTGGACATACCTGTCAGGATTGGCGTGACTTGGACCCCTGGCCACTCTCAAGGAACATCAGCACCCAGAGCAAAATCAGGGGTCTGTGATCTGCAGCCCCATGTCTTTCAGCTCTTTTTCTGTACCTTCTATCTAGCAGGCTCATGAATGGAAGGACTGTCGTTTTGTTGAGGCTTGTTTTAGGAGAATATAGGGCACAGAAAGATTAGCTGTGTTAACCCTTCAAGCCACATACCAAGATTGCCCTCTAGACTTTCTGGATTCTCTTCTGCTTTTACCTGCCTGTCTTATCCTATCTGCCCATGCCCATCTGCTTGAGCAAGTTCTTGCCTTATCCTTAGTTCTGAGACTCTCATGTTCCAGACTGATGACTTTGGGAGTATTCATAACTATTTTCTGAGAGCTTTGACTAGCTAGCTGCTCCAGACACAACAGCTTGCTAGGTGAAATGAAGGTTCTTACAAAAGGAGTTCAAGCACTGGACCTATCAATTCCAGCAATGTGGAGTGGTGCCTTTCAGTGAAAGCTCATTAGCCTTTGGAGGTCAATGTTTTAATTTGTTTTGTTGAGGGAACTCCAGCAATTTACAGAGAAAAATGTTAGACTTACATTACAACATGACTTCACATTGAATTGAGTATCTGCTTTATCCCAGACTTGGTACTGGGTATTTGACATTCATGATTGAGTTTAATTCTCATCACCCCCTTATAATATTTAGGTGTTATTTCCTTCCATTTTACAGGCAGTGAAACATAAGTTCAGAAAAGTTAGGTACCGTGTCTAATATATATCTAGCAGAGGCAGAGCCAAGATTCAAACCCTGGTTTGTCTGGCTCTGCTCCACCACTCCCACCCTTTAGTCTAACCTGCAGTACAGAAGACCTTACCTGGTTTCAACTTCTTGTGACATTTGACCTGTTTCATGTAACAGGGACCACCTTTCCCCACCCCACTGCAACCCCCTGCCCCCCAACCACCTGCGAAGGTCCTTTGCCAAGACAAAAGGATGGATTCCAGTCCCACAGCTCAGTGAGAGCCTTCCTACTTAGCTCTGGCCTTCGCCACAACTGATGTGCTCATTTGCACAATGATGATACAATGAAGAAGCTCAACATTCAGAGAAAGAATGTAATAGAGTGGTCTGGCCCCTTTCAGCCCCTATTAAATGGAATTTTGACCATACAGTAATCATAATCTGTTTAGTTAATAGGAGGCTCCCTTGCTCAAAAGCTATAAACCTAGATAACATAATGATTTTATTTGAGGAAACTGGAAGAGGACTAGTTTGGATGAGTGAAGGGCCTGATAAGCCATCTCTGTGAGGAAGTCCAGCAGTCAAGTGCAAACGTGGACTAGAGTTGGAAGACCTGAGACTTGGAGAGTTTGAGGAATGATTTGCATAGGTCTGGGTGACAACATAATTAAAGTATATGTGAAAAGGACTAAGGATATGTTTTTTAGGATTCATAGTTAGGGGCTAGAAAGAAGAAGAGAAACAACCAGAGGAGATAGAGAAACAACAATTATATAGGAGGAGGGACTCTAGGAAGGTATCATTTGAAGAAAGTCAAGAAATAAAATATTTCAAGGGGGGAGTGAGTCAAAAGCAGCAAAAAGTAACTAAAGATTAAAGAGAATGAGAATTGAGAAAAGGCTCATCTTTTCTGTCCTTGGTGAAATGTAAGGGAGTAGTTTCAGGCATAGAGATGGGAATTGG